TTTTCAGTTGTTGTCCTAAATGATGAAGTCCTAGATGAAACTGTACAGCTACTTGGCCAGGAGCAGGGTGTGGCACCTCCTAGTAAAATGGAAATTTTTCCAGCTGTCTAGCAAATGGCACACACTGCAGTCAGCAGTTAGCCAGAAGACTTTTGCAGCTTTTGTAGGGAACTAGTTCTTGAGGTGTTAGAGAATTTAAATGCTGTCCAGTTTTAAAAAGACAAGAGTGATTTTCTCTTCTGAAAATCTTTCTCTCAACTCCTGGAAAAGGCCTTACAGGAAAAATGAGCAATTTTTGCTACAAAGGTAACTCGACAGAGTCTTTCAGTCTGTAACTTTACAGATTCTTTCCTGGTTAAAGGAAGACGTATTTTGATTGAGAGGCCAGTAAGCTACTAATCCTTGAGCCCTGTAACTTTTTTTTAACACTCAACATTTTTAAAAATATTGAAGATATTGAATATTGAAATTGAGAATTGAATAGATGTATGAAATAAAATATTAAATCAATGTCTGAAGAACATTACTCCCTTGTTTTTATATTTACATTTGGAAAGTGTTTCCTTGAGCTCAGCAAAAAGTGATTTTAGTAGGAATTTAATGTATTAAATGGTTTGAGTTAATTCAAAGCATGTGATATTTTAGATCCCAGCAGGAGTTTTCTGTATATAGTCTGCTGTTTAATTCCACTAGATGAAAAGAATAAGAAAAAAGTATCAAAAGAATAAGGGACCATGTTAAAAGATTTTTATGGTAAAACTGGTCTTTTAACTTCTTATTTGTTCATTTTTATAGATTTCTTCATCTGACTATGTTTACATATGTAAGAGTGAAGTGCTCTACAGCATTTTGCTGTTTAAAATTAAAACTGAGGGCGTGACATTATCTGGAAAAGAACAGGATGTAGAATGAGAAAAGGTTGTGGGTTTTGGAAAGATGAGTGAAAGTGACTTTTCAGATTTTAGTGGTGATAACAAGATTATCACACTTTGGAAGAATTTGTGGGGGTTGGAAAAATTTCTAACAGTAGACTTTTTAATTTCTTCAGTAATTAAAAGACAGCAAGATAGAAAACACTCAGAAAGACAGAGCTGTCAGGTAAGATCCATGTTATTGCAGGCTTAGCCATTATGTTCACAAGTGTCATGCTGATATTTTAATTCCATTACCTCTGGTGTATTTTAATTTCAGAAACTAGCAAAAAAAAAAAGTGTTTGGGTTTGATTTTTTTTCATTCTTCCTCCCACATCTTTGGGAAATGGTTAAAGTAACAGAACAGTTAGCCTTCAGGGTTTGTTTTTGCGTATGAGCTTTTAATCTGCTAAACCCACTGGTGATTGCAAATATTGATCAGGAAGCTACAACTTCTAAATGTCCTGCTCTTAAAGTTACAATTCTATAAAGATTTAGTTCCTGTGAAGTAATAGGAAAATATTGTTAAAAGCAGTTTCCAAAATAAACCTCTTCCTTACAGGGCCTGCTTTTGTTGACCTGACATTAGCATGTAATTTACAGGCAGGATTGTGAAAAATCCCCTTGTACACATTCAGGCTTTCTGTAAAGAATTCAAATTGTAATAAGTTTTAATTTCTCGTATATTTTATAAATTGCCTGATGTGTATACTATTCGGTCTTTAAATTTCAGTTTTACTTCAGAGTTTGTACAGTGGATGATGCGATGCAAGCAGCCTGTGACCGCAGAAGCAGGTTGTTCGATGTCAGCCCAGAGAGGTGACGTCCCATGGCAGTCAATAAGGTGGCGTTCACTTACATGTGCTGAGGAGCTGATACATTGTGATCAATTTTATTTTTTTTTACCTCCATATGTTTAAATCAAAGTAAAATGTAAAATTGTGTAGTAGGCAACCTGAGAAGGGGAGAAAGTAGAAGTAAAATTTTAGATTTAGTGATCCAAATGGCTCAAGGTAAGCGTTGAGATCAGTGTACGCAAGGAAATTGATTAGTTGTTAATTTGGAAGAAACATTTTGATGGGTTGATCTAATTATAGAATACATGTAAGAATATGTAGCTGCATGAGCATACATATGCTCTAAACTGATATCTAAATATTGTTGATCTGTTGTGAAGCCAGATCCTCCCAGAAAGTACAGTAGTTTTAATTGTGCATCTGGATAGTCTCGCTAGTATATTTATAGCATGATTGTTATCACTGAAATGATTTTGCCATCTTTTAAATATGTGGTTTTCCACAGTCTTGGCTTCCTCCAGGAGCTTGTGGTTTCCTTCAGTGCTGTGACCTGGCTGTGTGACAGATGGTACAAGGAAGTTAATGTTGTCCTGTCGCCTGTGAGGGGTTTCATTTCTCTTGCAACAAGAGTTTTGCCATCCCACCTGGAAGTGCAGAAGTCAAAAGTCAAAGTTAAAAGCTTTTGCTGTCATCTGGGCTGACATTGTTTGCAACATTACTAAATCAATTGACCCTAAGATTAGCTCGGTTGATTAGAGCATGGTGCTATTTGGTGATCCTTGTGAATCCCTTCCAACTCAGAATATTCTGTGATTCTACGATTCCTTGATTCTGTAATGACACCAACTTTGTGGGTTCAATCCCCATATGGGCTATTTAGTTAAGAGTTGGACTTGTTGATCCTTGTGGTTCCCTTCCAACTCAGAATATTCTGTGAAAATTAACTGAAACAAATTTCAGAGATGAAAATGATCAAAAATCACAACATTCAGATACATAAATCAATAGTTCTTACTACTACTAGATAGGCTTTGTATTTTTTCTCTTACTATGCAAGATTGCATGTATCTTACTCCATACAGCTCTATACTTTTATGAACACTTATCTCTATGCCTAATTTTAAGACCATAATTTTGTTTTCAGTACAACTACCCAAATGCTTAAAAGCCTTCATGTGCTTATTTAATATATGGAAGCTTAGTGTTTGCATTTCAAAGTTAGCACTATAACTTTCAGTTTCTCAGCTCTCTTTTTGCTTATATCCTGATCATCAGTGTTGCAGTAATAACTGCCTGAATGTGTGACTTCGTGAGTTCAAGTTGAAAGACGAGCTGACTTTTGTCGGGCAGAGTAGTGTATATGAAAGATCATCTACAGACTGCAGAGGCAGATGTGGGTTTTCTCTGTGGTGTTTCCCTTGTTTTGAACCTGTCAGGGCAGTGGCTGCTCCTGGGCTGGAGCTGGCCTGGTGCAGCAGATGTGTGTCACAGTGTGCAGTACACATGTAGGCAGAGCCACAAGGAAAACAAAGAAATTGGAAGAGAGGAGGGGGACAGATTCTTACAATGTCTCTTGATATTGAGTCGTAAAACTTAATAGATAAGAGGGAAAAAATCCCAAGAAAAAATACTGACAGCATTTGTAAATTTCTGTAAATTTACAAATTTCTTTGTAAATTTTTAGTTTTGATCTAGTTGGAGCAAGTCTTAGACACATAAGAAAGGGAAAAAAGCTACATTAAAATGCTTTTAAGTAAAATGTGAAATATTTAAGTTGAAAACTCATCAATAAACAAGATATATCAGGGCACTAAGAAAGTAGCTGAGAATTAGGGAAAAAGAAATGTTGTTTCTTTGTGCTTAGATGTCTTACAGATCATAAAATAAGTACTTTCAGATTCTTCTGAAATTTCACCAATATGAAAAAAGAATCCAAGGCTTTTCTGCATGAAGTGTGTGGTTAGTGGAGGATTTCGTACTGTTGCAGCAGTAGGATTTCGTGCTTGATTTTGGAATCCTTGTTGCTGCAAATGAGGCTGTTAGAATTCATAACAGCTGGGGAATGACTAAAGATCCTATGACCAGACTTTTGATATAGTGCTGTTGTTCTTCAACCAGGCGTACTTCTGAACACATACAGGAATATAAAATCAAATATTTATTCCTTTTTAATGCATCCATAATTAGATAATTTTAAGATGTTAGTGTTTTAATTTCCAAGTTCTGTAAATAAATTTAAATATTTATTTTTCTGAATCTTACTTCAAGTTATATTCTAGTCCTTGATCTGGCTGTTGTCACTACATTTCCAAGTAAGCAGTTGCTAGGAAAAAATGTATATATGTAATCTAGAGTCTGTCCTACCAGACAAATACTTTAAGCAGAAGCAAAACGTGGAGTGGAATGGATTGAGGTTCCCTTCCTCTGGCAACTTTAGTTTGGTGAGGATTGGTGAATAAACTACCTGCACTCCAGTGTCCATTACCACCACTCTCTGTAATCCTTCTTGTTATCCTCAGATTGCTCCTGGCTGTATCACTGTTGGCCACTGGTGAAACAACAGCCGTGGTTAATAGTGGACCCTATGAGGCTTGGTAGTCTCTTGGTGACATCCCTGATAAAAGTCCCCAGTTAACCTCATGACTCTCTAGAGTGTGTCAGGTCGGCACATGGGTGCCTGCGTACCTCTCAGAAGAAAGTCACCTACTACTATCACCCATCATGTTTTTTTAGTTGTGTTCGTTTTTACACAGGGAGCAGATGGGGCTGCCTTGCTCATCTCCTGATGTGACGGGTCTTTCATCTTCGGTCTGCAGAGCACTGAAGAGGTTCTGCAAGGGCATTCCAGGCTTCGGGGAAAATTTCTTCCTCCTTTGGGTCCGTGCTGTTGCAGGCTTCCATTGTTCTGCATCATCTGCCCCTCTCCCTTCTGTTTGTGTGCACCAGTGGTGCTGTTGTTGGTTAGTTGGCCACGGGCTGTGGGTCCACTGCAGACTGTGCTTGGAACTAGCTAGCTAACTCGGCCTCCCTGATGTTGTGCAGCCTTCGCACAGCCCTCTGCAGCTCAAATTAGTAAAAGAAGTAGCATGCAGTATTGTGGTTAATAGTTACCGTAGTAGTTACAGACAGCTTCTTACCGAGAAAGAAATTCTGTGTTGATTGAACTCACTTTTGATATCCAATCATGTCTTTCTGGGATCTCCGTGTACCATAAATTTAGACTACGTTATTGCTGTCTGACCTTTAAACACATTAGTTTTTAACTTCCTTTTCATTTTCCTCTCTTTCCAGGAAGTTGAAGACCATGTGGCGTTTTTAATAACCGTTCCAACTGCCCTAGCAATTTTTTTTGCTATATTTATCCTTGTCTGCGTAGAACCTGTATTTAAGAAGCTGCTTCGTGTATTTTCTCTGGTGGTCTGGGTGTGTCTTGTTGCCATGGGATATCTCTTTATGTGTTTTGGAGGAATCATCTGTCCCTGGGACCAGGTAAGAGTGTCATTATTACTGATTTTATTTCCATTGGGTAAATTTCCAAGAACCATTCTATACAAAAGCATTCACATTCATTTTTGTGGGACATTTCATAAAATGGTTTTGTGACTAAGTGGTTGCATGCTGAGACTCCCTGCGTCTATTTTATAAATACCAGAGATGTGCATACTTAGGATATATTAGGAAATATTTGGAGGATTTTATTTTCATATTTTTAAGCTTCTCTGTGTAATGAATATGTGAATCCAATCACCAACTTCTCTGTATAGTGAATATTTGATTCTAGTGACCAGTTAATATGGCAGAAATGCTAGCTTTGTTCAGCACTGCTGATGCTATCTTCTTCAGTTTAAAACGTTTGAGCTGTCAGTGTAGGCTTTCTGTGGTTTTCAAGATGTTCTCTAGCAATGTGTGAGAAAAAGGACTGGGTGTTTCCTTACTTGTCTAGGGAAATGAGTGAGTAGAGAAGCAGTGAAGTACCCTCCACATTTTTTAAATTTTGTAATGGAGACAAAGCAAAATATAATTGCAGCCTAATGGCAGCACTTTTGAAACATCAATAAATGATGTACAATATCCAATGCTGAGCATGATTGATTCTTCTGTGCTCCTCTGTATTGTTTTCTTTTCCCCAAACAACTCTATGTGGGAATACTCCTTATAAAATAATTTTAAAACTCTTCAAAGGATGGCAAAAAAAAATATTTCAAACATATAAATATGTCTTCTGAAAATTTCATGCTAGTTCCATGAATTTAGTATAACCTTTAAATGGTATTGCTCTATCCAGAATGCCTTCTAGGTCTTTGAGATACACTTGAAGCACATTGTCTCACTTGTTATTCAGATCTTGCAAAGACTTATGCAAATACTGAACTTTAAGTATGCGGATAGTTCCTTTAAACTCTTTAATTCAAATTATTTAAATTACTGGTGTATGTTGGCAATACTTCTGGAGCCCTTACCTTTGTGTTTGACTTTATATTTTCATTTTCTTGGAAGGTTCTGGGATTAATTATGTAAGAAACCTCCTTCCAGTTTTTTTTTTTCCCTTTCCTTTTCAGTATTTGAAACTGCCAAATCAGGCCACACTTGCATGTAATGAAAAGCAAATCAGAACATGAAATACTTTTCTCTAGATACAGATTTCACCATGGGAGTTCTTATATCTTTATGATATCAGCTCTAGATAATTCACATGGTCTTACTTTTCTGATTTATTTTCATTGCCAGTTGTGGGAAGTCATTTCAGGATATTTCAGACTTTCAAGCTTAGATGCAAATATTTAATTAACTGTATTATTTGTTCATTACAAATTGTAGTGAGTTTAATTTTGGTATTTGAAAGATAGAATAATGATTTTCAAAAGCATTTGGCCTAAAAGAGATCTAAGAGAGATACTGATGTCTCGGTCCCAAGGTTGTGTTTAGCCCCTGAAGATGGTTTGTCCTGCTTTGCTTTCCTCTTAGGAAAAGTGTAGGCATTCCCACAGCATCCCAGGGACATGGCTGGCTATGTGAGGCAGGAAGGACTGTAGAGCTCTAGGGAAAGGCATTGTCTTGCTGCAGGTTGCCAGGACACAACTTCTCTGATGTTTCAGTCTGCTCCTTGCTTTGCGTGCAAGTGTTGCTTGGAGAAAAGGATATTTGGGAGGGAGCCGCATCTCTTGCTCTGCCAGCAGCAGCCGGCTCCGGGCAGCAGCCTTTCCCAGTGCTGTGCAGGCTCCAGCCGAGAGTGGGCAGGGATTTTCCAGAACGCCTGGACCCCGCGGCAGATGTCTTTGGCATCTGGCGGGAGAGGGGCTGTGCCAGAGCGGCCCCTGGCCCCTGCTGGGAGTCCGAGGTCCTGTGGCTCCCTGCAGTGGGACCCTTCGCTTCCCCAAAACCACATTTTCCTCCTTTGAATAGGAGTGCGCTTTTGCGGATTGCTTTTGTAGGCATACTTTTGCCTAGTGTCAGTTAAGAGTAAACTGTGAAAATATGGGAGTCTTTCTGGGAATTTGACACCTTTACACAATAGACTAATTGCAGGTTAGATGTTTTCGAACATCTGAAAAAGAGCTGTGAGCAATAAAATACTGCCATGTATGCCTGTGATGCTGGTGTTTTGTTTGCTCTGCATCAAGAATGTGCAGGTCAATAATCGGTGTTCTCTCTTATAATCCTACATGAAAGCAAATTTGAAAAATCCTTCCTCAGTGATCACTGACAGCTGCTTTGTTGAAGTTTTGCGAATCTTTAAACCATTTTGCTTGGCATATTAGGGTGGTTTTGTGGTTCCTTTATGCGTTTTATGAAAGAAAGGAGATGTGATGTAAAATTTAAATTAATTCAGTCAAATATGTCTCTGTCAACATAACTAATTAGGAAATTATGAAAATAAAAGAAAGAGCTAGTTCATGCACAGTTACTTTCTAAACAAGTGCTTTATTTTAATTTTCTTCAAATTACAGCCTAACTTTTGTTTTAGTCCAGCAGAGTTTAAAAGTACTCTTTTCATCATAACTTTCATGTCCTCTGAATTTTAAGCTTGTTAAGAATATGGTGTTTCTTAATTGTACTGGTAAATTTTGAAAGATAGATTTTTTGCATACCACAGTTGATAGAAAAAAGCTTGTTATTTTGTCATTTGTGCACAACCCTTCTCCCTGAGTGAGAACCCTGCATCTTTTAAATTTTGGCTTAATGATTTTCATGTGTTTCTCGACTGTTTGCGACTGCTAAATATAGTTTTTCTCTGTTGTCTTAAGGAACCTTAGGTGTGAACTTTTGCAGCTTTTGTTTACAATAAAAATACCACTTGAGAGAGACTATTCTGGTTAGGAAATCAATATATATTTAATGCAGAGCAGTTCCTCCAGAGCCTGCAGGCACATAGCTCAAATAACTTTCACGATGAGTAGAGGGCTTGAAATGAATTGGCTGATCAGGGCCACTGTTGGGGTTTTTTTATTAGAAACTTGTAGGCTGATGTGAAATAAGTGCAAATCAGGATTGGTTTCAGCTATCTTTTTGCTGTCCCTGCAGACCATTGTATTGGTCTCCATTTCCTTGACTCTTCTTTGGCTGCAGCTACAGCTTTGGAGAGAAAGCTGTTACTGGGTAGGTATCTGGCCACTGTTTGAAGGGGGAAGACAGTGCAGCTGTGGACAGTTACTTTGTCCCTTAGTCTGGTCAGCAAACCCCATACTAGCTCTGTGGTTGCCTGCTGAGCCTGATCCAAAGGCTGTTATTATCACTGGACTGCTTGGGCATCATCACTAACCCGTTCATGACAGCAGCCAGGATATTTGCACTATCAGCCTTACTAACTTACCTCTTAGGTTAGTCTGAGCTCCCTTACTCCTCTGTATTGACAACAAAACACAGCGAGTACACTGAGAGGGAGGTGGAGTGTGCTTTAGGGAGGCAGTGGGTGGCTTTACATGATTGGAACAGTGATGACAAATGTCTTTGGTACCTGACAAATTTTTTTAAAGAAGTGTGGCAACCCTCTCTTACTGGTGTCAGCCCAAGTTTCTGTCACTGCCATGCTTGACAGTGTAGCCCCTGGTTTTCCCTGGTGCCCCAGGGAACTCGGATGCCTCGTTAGGACCTTCACACGCTTCACCGTGCTAGAGCCCAGAAGGGAAACTGGGCTGCCTGGTAGGAATCGCGAGACACCTGGGTGAGTAGGAAAGAAGTAGAGCAAAGGCGGTCATGCTGAGGCTCAGAGGGAGTGATTCCCTGCTGGCAACTTTTTTCAAGTCTAAGGTGTGAGCAGTAATGTGTGGACATGGTTTCAGTGAGGAAAGACCCGAGGGTGATGCTAACTTAGCAAGATCCATGTGGAAATCTCTAGATGGTGTGTCGGTGGAGGGCCAGTAATGCATGGCAGGCAAGCTGAGTAAGGAGTTCTGGTCGAAAAAGGTGATGTATTGATTTTATCATGTTAAGACTCTTCCCTACTATAGAATGAAGTACCTTTCCTTTCTAAATGTAAATCCAGTCTCTATCTGTAGAGTTTCATGCCAGGGAATGAATTGAAATTAGTTTCTTCTTGTTCCACTGACAGTGTAGTTACTGTACAACAGTCGCCTTTCCATGTCACCCTCTGACATGTCTAATACTTCCTCAGCCTTTTATACAGGATGTATGTAAGTATGTCATAGCACATTGATATCAATGGATAAAAAGAGCTCTTAAAGCATGCAGTAGATGATATAAAAAAAGAGTAATTATACAACATTATACTAGTCTAATGAATTCTATCATTGCAGGATTTTGGTGTTCAATTCTATTTAATTATAAATATGTTTGCACAGCACAGGCACCAGATGTGTTCCTCCTTCTCTATATTCAGTTACAGCACAGAAAATTACTTCAAGCGGAATTTGACACTTATGGTTTAAAAAAAAAACTATCCAGAGTGATGTGTTTAGAATATATGCTTGATTATTTTAGCTTAAATTCTACTTTTTAAGCTGAATTTAAAGCACTTTTTTGTTTTGTTTTAATGTGTTGATATGGAACGGTTCAGTTCAGGCCTCGGGGCAGTCCTGGTTTACAAGGTGTGGGCAAAGTTTTATGCCCTAGTATTTATAATGTTTATTTTTTTGATACTGTTGTAGCACCTGAGGATATCAGTCTGTTGTGTGCTGCGGAGTGAGGGGGGCCTGCACAGAGTTTCTGTGGTTATGGTAATTAGCTCCTATATTAGGCCATGGGGTGAGCTGATGGATCTGCAGAAAGAGAAGAATTGTCTTTTTAAGGAATTACTTTGGGTATGGTTTCCTCATCTTGCTTGGGACCTGCCCTATCTAAAGTCAGCCCTGCCATAAATTACTAATAACATGTTTTGTGGTTAAGCACTGCAAAAAAGAAAAAAAAAAAAAATTAGATGTTTGAGGAATACAAGGCAGGTATCATCGAAGTGCCTGCAGCACAGTAGAGTGAGGATGAGTTAATGCTATACCACTGGTTCATGACCTGGAGTGTGGAGAATACTTGACATT